GCTAGAATCTCACTTCACAGGCAAGACGGTCACACTCTCTCCCCCTCGGCAGGAGGGGGACGAACACACGCTCAGCTCTGTGGCACACGCGACCACGGCACTCACCGCCTGGCACAGGACGGGGAACTTGGTGCGGTTGATGCCGCCCGCGAACACCGTGAAGGTCAGAGCCGCGTGGAAGCAGAAGTTCAGCAGCGTGTGCCGGCCCTTCCGGCTGATCCGGATGGCGCTGCGAGAAAGAGGGCAGGTCACCTTCGCAACTGCCACTTCAGGGAGCAGCTGGGGACTGAGCCCCTCGCCCCCTACCTCCCCCCCAGCCCTGTCCTTCTGCGGGGCCGGGAGCAACTGTCTGGAGCCCCACATGGGGGACAGAGCAAGGTGCCGTGCTACGCCCACCCTGCCGGGTTGCCACCCTAGCATGCTGCACCGGGGCGGGAGGGGTGGGCGGCGTTTGCAGGGTCTGAGCAATCCGATCGTTCGACAGGTGACGACATTGAGCCCTGGGACTCTGGCTCGTGTGCAGACTCAGGCAGAAGTCACGCCTCTGGGTCCCAGGACGGGCTCGTCCCCCCACCAGCTGAGCAGACGCCTGGCACCCCGGGAAGGGGCTGGGCGGGATGGGTGTAGCCGGATTACGACACTGGCCACAGCCTTCACCGTGGCCGTGGGCACGGCCAAGCCTCTCCCGTGACCACGGTGGCTGTGGCCTGAGGGTCTGTGTCCCACCAAGGCTCTCACGTGCAAACTTAAGTGGGATTAGTGCTCGCATAAAGGAGCCTCGGAGAGCCGTCCTGCCCCTCCCGCCATGCGAGGATGAGGTGAGAAGGCGGGTCTGTGAGCCGAGCAGCCAGACGCTGCGTCTGCTGCCGCCGCCTTCGTCTTGGACCTCCCGGCCCCAGAACTGTGAGAAAACCAATTTCCGTTGTTTATAAGCCACTGAGTCTATGGCATCTGGGTTGTGCCAGGTCTCTGCCCATGAGTGCGGGCATGGCCACGGCCTGGGCGTGGACCGTGACTTTGATGCCTGGCCCTGCTGTGCGGGACCCTCCTCACATTTCCCGAATCTCTCAGTGTTCTCCAGGCCACTGCACCCTCCCGAGGTGTGAGCACCTTGTGGGGAGCTCGCTGCACCCAGCTGACCTTGCACCATTTCAGGGGGAGCTCGCTGCACCCAGCTGACCTTGCACCATTTCAGGGGGAGCTCGCTGCA